CATGGGCTTCTACTGGATGTTCGCGAAGTAGCGATGTCATATCAAATCATTGATGTTCGAACGGCTGAGACGGAGACACACGTTGTCAACAAGGCCCTTATGTCAGCCAATCACAATTGAAAGCACCAGTAATTTGTACCGTGATCTGCGATTGTCACCGCTGTTACTCTGTTACAACAGTGAGCACAATTTGGGGTATATACTTTTACACGCATTGATAACCAAAAGTAAACAAGTAATCTTTACTTGTCCGGGTAATCATTACTCAGATTTTCGCGAAATAACGAACCGTGAATTCATGATACAAAGTATAGCTTTTTTTTATATAAACTTTGAGTGATAAAGCGAAATTGATGTTTTGATCGATATGAAATTGCAATGTAAGACGAATTTTGTATTTTTATGTAGGTAGGTCACRCAAAGAATTGTACCGTGCATTTTAATCTTAATACCGCGTGCCTCCTGTCTCAGTGATAAATCCAAAGCTGATTTAGGTCGAGTGACAATCGAGTATTTTAAGAGGCGATCAGAGTAATCATTACCCATTGACGACCAATCAGAGACTAGACGCTCTATGAGCGTAAAGTCGGGCTACTCAGAGAATGGGAAGGGTGTCTCTAATTCTTGTCAGCAAGTCTTTTTGTTCCCCACAAAATGATGTACATGTATGGGTGTCCTTGATGGCAAGCAATAGAAAGAGCAAAAACATCGCGATCAATCCCTGTCAGAAACTTGACAGCCTAGAGTACATCATTGCATTATTACATTTTGCTTTACTTATATACCAGTATTTTTGCTTACTGAAAACTATAAAATAATATAGCATACTAACTACTCTGCAAACAGAGGTTCTTTTCTCCGAGAGAGAAAAGAACCTCTGTTCGCAGAGTACATACTAACATTTAAGAAGTGTAATGTTGTCATTGGTTACACTTGCAGTTTTCATTATTATTATGTAAAGCAACTTCCTTATATTATTGCCATGCATTTCTTCAGAATGTTTGATATTATGATCTAAGTACAATTCAGACATTCAATATGCTCATCCCAATTGTTGAACCGTCAGCTCCAACATATAGATTCTGAAATGAGTAGTTCATAAATGTAGTACTTACAGTCAGTAATTTAAAAGAAACACTCACAAGTGCCTTTAAGATATGGTAAGCCAAGGAAATCTCTTGCATCAGAATCAAAAAGCTTGAATTCTCCATGACTTTTGCAATAAATAGCTACAGTGCTACACTGAACAATCATATAAAACTTGCCTAGTAGCATACAAAAGGCATACAAAAATTCCAAACCAATGCTTGATGATATATCGTGTAAGTTACCAGTTTTGTTCAAATATACTGACTGTATAATTTTAAGGGTGTAGGGGGCTCTGAATAGAGGTAGCACCTTTGGCGCTTATCAGCTGCACCTTTGGTGGACAGGCGCCACTGGTCCTCATTCATCTCCTAAACTCTCACGTGTGGCTCCAAGTGCCACACCCCGGCAAACCACTTCTGCTGGCGGACTAAACCACGTGAGGGGATGGTGTCCTCCACGGCACCATTGGGCGGAAGAGCTCTGCAGAGTCAACGGCTAGGGCGGAAGAAAGTCACTCACTGATACTTCAACGCCACCCAGGATCCGTACATCCTTCTCCAACTTGTGCATGGCGTGCTTTGTGGAGAGTAAACTACGGGAGTACCTTTGCACTCGGGCGGATGAGTTCCAAGCACGCCAGGGTTACATCCAACACCTGTTACCTTATCAACCAACGGCCAGCAAAGGAAACACTGTGGGCTGGGCAGGCCCCCATAGGGCGGACGAGGGTTCCCATTCCTGTCTCTAAAGATGGGTTTTCCCCAACGGCCAGTCTGCCTAGGTCAGTCCCTGCTTGGGTCAGCCCACTGACCTTACCCTGACCGCCCCACTGGCATACGGCGTAGTGATATGCGCCTCCCCAGAGTCCACTCTGCGTCAAATGCCCTTGGGGGACGTAGGTACGGAAGAGGGCAGCCTACCTACCCACAGTCCAAGGCCAGCAACCTCTGACTGTGGATTTATATACCCGCTACAGACCCTAACAGACAGAATATTACCAATCTGCGTGGCACGTCTGGACAGCGACACCGCACCTATGGCGGACCACGGGCAAAGCCGAAAGAACCACGTGGCCCTGAAGTGTCCAAACGCACCCGCAAAAACTACATGAGGCAGTTGAAGATTGCATCATGGAATGTTAGAACTTTGTCTGATGCCTCAACATCAAAGCGCCAGGCACCGGAGCGCAGATCTGCTCTAGTTGCTGCTGAGTTAGAGCGTCTGAACATTGATGTTGCCTGCTTGAGTGAGTGTCGGATCCCTGAGGAGGGGGAGTTCACTGACGGCAGTTACACCTTTTTCCACTCTGGCAGGAGCAGCGACCAACCCAGGCAAGAAGGCGTCGCCATAGCCCTAAAGTCCTCCATACGTCAATCTATTGTCAGCTGGAAGGGGATAAACTCCAGAATCATGAGGATGCGTATAAAGCTGGCTAACACCTGCCATGCAACAATCATCAGCATCTACGCTCCCACCTTCACAAGACTAATTGAGGAGTGAAACCTCTTCTATGAACAGCTTGCTGAACAGCTTGAATCTGTCCCCAGGCAGGACCGACTCCTCCTCCTTGGAGATTTTAACGCTAGAGTCGGCTGCGACTGTGAAACCTGGCCAGAGGTCATTGGCCAATACGGCCTGGGAAAAGAAAATAATCAGGGCATAACACTCCTTGAACTATGTACCCGCTTTGGTCTGACCATTGCAAACACACTGTTCTCTCACCCTGACATACACAGAGGCACATGGAAACACCCACGATCGCAACGCTGGCATATGATTGACTATGTTATCATCCGGCAACACTATAGGTCAGACCTTGTTGATGCACGTGTCTGTCGCAGCGCTGACTGCTGGACTGATCATCGGTTAGTGTGCGCGAGACTGAAACTGCGCTTCCATATATCATCCCAACGGAAGCTCAACAGCGGCCCTAGGCGTCTAAATATCAATCGCCTGAAGGTGCCTGAAGTCAACAGTCAGCTGAGGGAAAAGATAGCTGCAAATGTACAAGATCTAGATGCAGAACCACTGGATGACCACTGGAAATCCCTCAAGGAAACACTTTACAACACAACCAAGGAAACAGTTGGATTTCAGAAAAGGCAACATCGTGACTGGTTCAGGACACACCTGAAAATCGTCAGCATTACAGAGCTGCCAGGAATCACTGCCAAAGAGAGCTCCGCCGCTTACAAAACCAATGGTGGCTGGATCGAGCTAGTGAGATCGAAGCCCATGCAGAACGGCATGACTCCAAGAGCTTCTTCAAGGCAGTGAAGTTTGTGTGTCAGCGACGCTCAACAGGTCTCAGTCCCATAGATGATACATTTGGCAAGCGACTCACTGAAAGAGAGGACATACTGCATCGTTGGAAGGTGAATTTCTCCACCTTGCTCAATCAACCTAGCAATGCAGACATCTCAGTCATGGATGACATCCCACAAGAAGGCATTGTAGTCGAGCTCGAAGATCCACCATCTGAACAAGAAGTCGGCAAAGCCATGAAACAACTGGCAAGTGACAAAGCCCCAGGACCTGACTGTATCCCAGCTGAAGTCCTAAAGGCTGGAGGCTAAACACTTCTGACAGAACTTCACAAGCTTCTCCTTAAGATCTGGAATGAAGAAAGAGTGCCTCAAGATTTCAAGGATGGCCACATAGTGTCTCTTTACAAGAAAAATTGCCGTTTCACCTGTGGCAATTACAGGGGTATTACACTCCTGTCAATAACTGGCAAACTGTTTGCCCGTGTGATCCTCAACCGCATTTGGCCAACAATTGAAAGGTTCTATCCAGAGGCCCAGTGTAGCTTCAGAGGGGGCCGTTCAACAAACGACATGATGTTTGCCATGCGTCAGCTCATAGAGAAGTGCATAGAACAGCATCAGCAGCTCCATATCATATTCATCGACCTAGTTAAAGCATTCGATACGGTCAACAGGGAACTAATGTGGAACCTCCTCTCAAGGATAGGAATCCCACCCAAAGTTGTTCAGATCATAAGAAGTTTCCACGATGGAATGCAGGCAAGAGTATCGATTG